AGAAATTTTGCCACCACCACTCTGTTCCTGTTGCAGAGATGACATCCGTGACTACCAGTAAAGACAAGAAGGTTGTTCAAACTAAAGCAAGCCAGAAGCCAAAAATTTAACTGCACAGTAACAATGTACTTTTCTTCATGCAGCCTTGTGTTTCCTATATATTCAATTTTCTAACATGCATTAGAATACATAAATTTGTATTCTAATGATTTTACGTTTGATTTTACAACATGGAAAAAATCTAAGAAAGGACGTGACCTGGGAAAGAGAGAAGGGAGAACCCTTACCACAATGAAAATAGATACATTCGTACCCAACTATATAGTAAGAATATAATCCATTTAAGTTTCCAGAAATAATACTTCTCAAAGCTTCCCATTCACTTATGGGAAAGATATCTCCTCTGTGGCATTAAGTGGGGGGGGAATCTGTTTCAACAGAAACAGTTCACAACAGGAAAGACTTTAACTTTGGTCCACTTGTCTGTTAGCCCAAGGACAGTCACACTGCCCAACATCAGTTCAAAAACCCAACACATAAATTTAAAAATATATTCATTTGTTATTTCATTCTAAAACAGGCATAGGTGTTCTGTTCTCATTCCCTGCCCTTTCAGCTTGGGAATCCACTGTTGATTTGGTCTCTAAACCATCAGCATCTTCGTGATCTTCCCTGGCAGTCTCAGCACAATCTGCTTGGGTGGGCTCTCTCTCCTCCTGGTTCATGATTTCAGGAGTCACTTGTTCCAAGTCGGCTTCTAGAAGTTCAGTCTGTACTTCTACTGGCATCTGATTTACCCGCTCGACATGCAGCTCCTCCACGTGTACTTCAGTACCTTCTTCAGTCTGAATTCGACCCACTTCTAGATAACTCACCTGGACCTGCTCTGGAAGATCGCTCATATGTGAATCATGCACTTGGCTGTCCTGGAGCAGATCAGGATGGACCTGTTCCACAGTCACTTGTGCTGAATCCACCTGAACCTGAAGCAATGGTAACACATGCACCTTCCCAACTTGTTCTATAATAGTCATTGACGTCACAGGTTCAGTCTGCACACGTGTTTCTACTGAAAGAACTTCTTCAGTTACTAGACGCTCTGAAATATTGTGAGTATCACTGAGATGCCTCCTTAATTCATTTCCTTGCATAAACCACAAGTCACATAAAGTACAATGGTTGGGTTTATCTCCAGTGTGTATTACCAAATGATCTTTGAACTGGTCCCAGCTGTTAAACACACTGTTACAGACCTGCAATAACCAAACATATGGTTTTAACAATACTAATATTCAAGCTGAAGAAAACATGAATGTATTTATTCTCTTTAAGGAAAAATTTGAATTTTTCTGAAAAATATGATATAATATAATATAATGTGGTCTAAGATTTCATAACTGTTTTCTTTATTGGATCTTTTAGCTGATGTAGTTAACAACTGAAATACACTTTGGGAAACATTTTAACACTGCCTTCATTGCTTAAATGTCATATAAATTCAAAGAATATAAAGTACCAATACTATAATTTCTCCCATAATATCATTACTATAAGAACAATTACATTATTTGGGTTATATACATACTAATCATGGAAGAGCTGATCACAGCTTGTCAGCCCCCCACTGCCTCATTCCCAAATTCTAGTAATTGCTCAATGGTTAAGAATAACCACAGTTTCAGATTATTTATTATTTAGGACATAATTTTACTGACATTGGTGTCATCTTGGATTGAGTAAAAAAAACCAACACCCTAATCTTCGTTCTAAAGTCAAGACAGTGATGTTCTTTACTCTCATTCTTTCCAAACTATCAGCCCTATACTTTTACTCTATACTCTGCTACCCTTTACTTTTAATGATTTAAAACACAGACCATTCCTTTGCTAAGGAGAGAATACACCACACATACCTGACATTCATAAAGCTTCTTTCTTCCCTTTTTTGCCCCTACTCCAGTCTGGCATGCAGTCAGATGACATTTGAGGGTGCTATTTCTAGCAAATCGTTCATGACAATTTGGACATTCAAAAGGTTTTTCACCTATTACAATAGAAAAAAATTATATTGACAAATGAGGAAAAATAGAAAAAGCAAATAAATTTTTTTCCTTTTGGTTAATTCTAAATAGAACCTTCTTGAAAGAAGATCTGAATTTATAATTCAGATGTTTCCACCACATCCAAAAGACTCTTCTAGAGGTGGAAATAGTTGTATTTGTGCTTACAACTGTTGTATTTGTGTTATAATTGTATTTGTGCTTTGAAGAAGAAATAAAATTTGGATCTGAGTTCTGTTTCATGTTTTCACTATTCTTAAAAAGCTGTTTATTTTTCCTTAGGTTAAAACCAAGATCAATCTCTCTTTTTGGGAAATGCACCCACAAGCATTTTTTGAGCACTTATTATGTGCCAGACCCATGTGCTAGGTGATGAAGATAAATAAACTCCTTTTTAAAAACTCTGTATCACAGGCC